CAATTTTATTAACAAAATAATATTTTGTTTAACATGCACTATTTGTTATAAACATGTCAACAGTTTAACCAAAGTAGCTAAAAACGTTTGTGTTTGCACTATTGCGTAAATTTTATTTCGGGCATAAAAATTTAACGAGAGTTGCGTTCTCCGATTGTATTCGTCTGAAAGAAGAAAGTCATATACACCTAGGATGGCTTGAGGGTAAGTAAATCATGGGGTAATTTTCATTTTTGGGTGAACTATCCCTTTAAGAAAATGACCTCTTATGATTGGCTTATCTCAGTGGCATGGTTCACACTGGTATATTTCAAATGAGCAAGAAAAAAAATATATATTTTTCCATGATATGCACACAAACAAACAAGCTACCAATGTTGGGAGAAATAAATAAATAATAGCTTCCTCTGTCATGGTGTTTACGAAATGTAAAGAAAAAGAAAGATGGGACAGTATCACCTCAATCTATGTCTGAACTCCATATGAGAGAACAGAGTAATGTAGTTATATGGCTGTTTTCAAACTCATGCAGGTTCCTTAGAGTCATTCGAAAGCAACACAGAATCAAACAAAGAAAGAGAGTCCCATTATCACAAAAGTGAATGTAGTGTCAAGCAGCTCTTGTGAAATATTTGTTTTTCCTCCATATATCTGTTGTTTGTCTACATTATCCTGCAACATCTCACTCGAAATCTCAGTGCATTTTACAGAGTTTGTGTTTCATAAATGAAACCTCGGCAGCATCCTCCTCTGTGGTAGAGCCAATATTTGTTCTGAGACATTTCTGCATGTCTCTGGGCTGTGCATGAAGATATCCAGGAATAATGGCCGAGGAACATTTCCATTCCCAGCACTCATCTGAATTATATTACAATACCCTGCTGCACAGAACCTGAAGATGAACATCCAATAGGCCAGCAATTAGTCTAATAAATAATTGACATTACGATTACGTCTGCTGTGATAAACTAGTCTGAAACATTAGACCAAAAATACATTGGAAATGGAGTGAAAATTCTTAGCACACATGGCAGAATAAACTGCAGTGCTCATATAGAAAATCTGAATTCCAATGTGGCTTTGAATGTGTGTTTGAATTTGGATCTGTGAAAATGAGGCCAGTAGTTGGCGATGTCACTTTGTAAATAAACACTATGGGCCTGCGCACATACCTATAGACTGAACACGTAATACACATGTGCATTAAGTCACTGTTTTAAATTTGCGGTTTTGTAGTTCGCACTGAGATGATAACGGTATCATTTGAAAAACTTGTACTTTGTAACCTGTTTTCAAAAGTTGGTGTTTTCAGGCCCTCAAAACACCATTGTCGTATAAATGAGTGTTGTTTAAAAGCCTTCTAAATGTGTTGCGCATTTAAACACATTTGAAAACATTTAAAACGTGGTTTAGTGGTTAGCGCTCCAACGTGCAAATCTGGATTTAACTTGAATCAAATCTAAGTCTTTTAGACCCTTAGAAAGAATAAAAATGTGTATGTGTGTGTGTGTGTGTGTGTGAAGACAGAAACTGATCTTATATTGTATTAAAGCAGAACTAGCCTGATATTCCATCAGAAGAACAAACTGTACGGTTTGTTTGGGCCTTGTGCTTTTTGAGGAGGGCATAAATCTCTTTCAGAGGTTTTTTCCACGTAGATAATGCAATACACGCTCTCTTTCTCTCTCTCTCACACACACACACCCCCACACTCACACACACACACACACATCTACAGACACATTATTCTCATACTTTCACTTCGAAGTTCCCAACCTCTAGAAATACTAAAATTCGTGAGGGAACTTCATAAGGGTTGCACACTCAATCAGAAGAATTATACACTTAATAAACATACTGGTAATAATGTATGATAATCACTTTTCCTGAAGAAAATGTGAGTGATATTAGGCTGTTCAGAAAGCACCATCACGATTGGCTGGCTGCCAGGGTGTTGCTATGCAGTTGGTGATGTGGTGCTTTTTTATTTTATTGTGCTGCTGTTCCAAGCTGAATTGAGAATGGCTTTTAAATTTCATTTCAACAGAGTGCTGCATTAATGATGTATTTTTTTAGGCCAAACCAAATGTTCGCATCACCCCGGATTCCTTGACAAAAACCCAATCATTGGCTTTTGGATGGCAGGAAACGAGCTGTGACCAACAAATGTTTGATACTTACAAATTTTGTTCATCATGATAATCTTGAGAAATGACCACAACTTGAACTGAATTCTGAAATACAATCAGTAGAAGTAAAAAGCTAAACATAGGCTATAAATGAACTAAACCACAGTCGTATGATGTCCCCACCATTAAGCTTTCAACAACTCATTCAGCCTTACATTTTCCTTTAAAATTTGAGTCAGATTAGTTTGAAAGAGCGCGAGTATGAACACAACAAGGCTGTGAAAGCAGACTAGCAAGTAGATGAGTTTACCTGTTTGGTGTCATGACGTTTAATGTTTCCAACAGCCTCTGTAGTCGTTAGACTTTTGTTAGCAACTGCCAAAACAAGTAAAAGCTGAATAAAATGTGAAATGAAAACATATTGAGCCTGTGTTAAACACACACATCATTTTAGGCATTTAACCAAAAAACTAATTCAAAAAAACTCAGGACAATTAAACCAAACAGTCATCCCTGCAGCACTCTATTCTTGAATTTGAATTGAGGTGGAATTTTTTTTTTTAGAATTTGAATGTAAGGTAGTAATTCATATGACTGTCAATTTTAACTATAAAGGCTAAGCTTGTCAAGACCGATTTTGCATATTGGCTTCACAAAGTCTTGAAATTCTGATTCAACTTCCCGAGACTCATGACCAATTTAATTCAAATTCCAACTCTGCACTGGTTGCTATGTGGTTGCTAGGGTGCTCTGGGTGGTTGTAATAAGAGGCCACCTTCAATTCTCTATGATATTCAGGTCTCTAGACACAGATTATATTTCTTTGTTAATGTAAGTCTACGGGATTTCTGTGCTTGTGTTGAGTGTTAGATTTTGTTTTATTACAAGAATCTCGAGTCTCAAATTACTTGAAAATTGCTCTACAACCAGCTGTCATGAGGTCTGCACCATACCGGGCGATCAGACACCTTTCACAAAAACACACAGCTCTTGGACTGCAGCTCTCACTCTAATCTAAAGGAAAAAAGGGTTTGTATTTAGGATCACGTCTGGGAGTTTATCTTTAGCGAATACAGATCTGTGGACCGACACGTCTAAGAGGGGTTTCAAAATTCTGAGCACACAAGAGTTTATCATCTTAAGCCATGTATGCGTAGAATAACTGCCCCAATTATCCCCAAGTTATTAATTTGTACTCCATAAACTGCACTGCGACAGCCTCCCCAGCTACATTCTGCATGTTTAAAGGATGCATTTGAATTTTAGTCACTTTTTTTCCCTTTATTCGTTTTGCCGCGGGGTGTAGATGGCCTCCGCTATACCTCCTGCTAGGTGCATGTAGCTTATTTTGTGTTTTTGCACCACTGTAATGCTAAAAACAAACAGTGGATGAAAAATAGTGCATAATTCGTTTTATTTACATCATCTGATCGATGCACCCCGAACTCCCAGCACCCATGGGGTCACATCAGTCTGCCTCAAATTGACCAAACTATCCTGTTAAGTGATTGAGATCCTTCAATTAGATGTCTAGTCTTTGGGCTGAGTCACAGAACAGATAGGATGATTTAAGCATGATGTTTTGTATTATTGTAGATGCAGATGTGGTGTTAAAGAAATATTCCATGCAAAAAAAACAAACAAAAACAAACTATCATTTACTCACCTTCATTCCATTCAGTATGATTTTGTTTCATTTGTGGAACACAAAAGAAGATGGTTTGAAGACTGTTCAAATAGAACCATACATGCATTCTAAAGGGCTGTTCACACCATGAATGATAGCTGTAAAGAATAATGTTTTTTTTTTTTTTTATATATCAGCATCCACACCAACATACTATAACATTCTGTTCATTATAAGTGTGCACTCGAGTTTTGTCGTTTGTCATATTAAATACTAGAGCTCTATAAAATAGGATAGATTATGAATTTTTTTTCATTAGCTGATATCGATACCAATGATATCATTCCTCTGTGCCATTATGATTACAGTTTGCTATTATATTTAGAACGATTGTTAAAGCTATATTTTCATCGTTATGTTCCTTGGTCTACCTTAAGAGTAATTCAAATAACGCTGTGCGTCTTCTAAGCAAGACTTATTGCGATAAAAATCTCAACATTTGAGTTGTTATTCACTGAAAATCTTTTCGTCAGCCATAGTTCAATTTAAATTAACACATTTTATGACAAAACATCAATAGTGTCTGGAATCATTGTTAAGCAAATGCAAATGTGATTTTCTGTTAATAACGACTTAAATTTAATGTTTATAACAAAAATATTGTACAGCTTCATAACAGTCATATGCAATACTTGCCATATTTTTAGGCAGCTACCATAGACACACTGAGACAGAAACATTACATTATATTAAAACATTATGTAAATCTTGTATTAATGTATATAATGTATGTTAACATTTTTTATTTTTATTTTAAGTTTTTAAAAAGTTGTCAAGTTAAAAAGTTACAAAACCTACATTTTGCATTCTGTTCAATACCTTTACACTCTGAAATGCAAGAACACATAGTATTGGTGCTTTTTTTTCTCGTTTTGGAAACAAAAAATCATCAATCATCAGTCTCTGCATTCAGGAAGATGTGGCATTTTCTTTTAAACAATTAGACAATGATTGTCCTTTCCTATAATGAATCTGTTATTAATCTTCACTCCACGCAGCAGATTCTCAAGAATCTCGACTGGAGCTAAAGCATTCCAGTTTAAACTGCCTCCATTGTTTCGCCTGGGAATGAAACCATTTGTAATGATGACACAAGTAATTTATGGGAAAGTAATTTTTAATGCATTTATAGCTTATGAGCTCTGAGTATATAATTTTCTCCTTTTAAAAGCCCTCGCTGCTTATGAAGTCACCATTCATTCTCTAAACTGCAGCGGTAATTGCGGCAGTGGGTTCTTTGAAGGAAAAAGACAGCTCCGTTTTCCACACCTTACCTGAGCGAATGGCGATTGGTGGACACGTGACGTACCGCAATTTGTTGGGCATTCTGACGGAGCAGGTCTTTATCCCTGTAGTTACATTTTCATTTCTACAGAGTTGAACTAGAGTCCAGTCGCCGTTCTATATTCAAAGGAGACGTGTGGGTATCGAGCTTTATTTTGAGGGTTATTGCATCCTGCTTACCGACGGTTCTCAGTGAGTCTGTTGTCTTTTTCTGATTGCTCTGCCTCTGACAATGAGAGCCCGAGTATACTCACGCTGAGAAAATACATCTCAGTCCAAAATATCAAACAAAGCCAGACCAGGCCTTTTCTCGGTTGCCAGCCGATCCACTTTTCCTCTCGATTTAGCGCCACAAAAGCCATCCTGATCATCCCAGTGTTCTGGCAAGTAAAACAAGAAAAAAAGGAAAAAACATTTTTACATGCTTCAGTTACAAACATTTTTGTAACTGGAAACTGGAACAAAATAACAAAAACTAAACGAAACAAGTAAAATAGAAAAAAATATATAATGGTTCAAATAGTGGTTGAAGAAAATAACCAAAATAGATGGTCACTTTTTGTCTCAGTTTCCCACTAAAACATCACGAAAGGAACAAGGAAAAGGGTGACTTTTCAAATAATTATTATTATGTATTTATTTATTTATTTATTTTAATTAGGGATGCACCAATACCGATACTGGTATCGGGCCCGATACTGAGCTCCTGTACTCGTACTCGTTAAAATGCCCTGATACCAAACGCCGATACCACACAGCATGTGATAAGCGCCATATTCAGACAAAGAAACACCCACAACAGAACAACAGACAGCAGAATGGAGTTAAGGATGTCTACTACGAAGTATATGTATGCAATGAATATAACGTTAAACATTCAGTATTAACGCCTAAGTACCGAAAATAAAAGTATCGGTATCGGGCGAGTACTGGAAAACGTGTTATCGGTGCATCCCTAATTTGAATTAAACAACAACAAAAAAGCATTTTGGTAGATTTATTCTTTAGATGACATATCATCTATAAAATATAGAGAAAATACATTTTATACGCCATTTTTAGAAATATTTTAAGTGAAACGGCATTAATAACCTTTTTTTTTTTTTTTTTTTGTGATTTTTGG